TGTAAGTGCAAGCAGGGAAACTTCACAGCAATTGGAATAACCTACCTTTAAACAAAGCAATATACACTCTCACCAAAATGTGCACTTTGTTACAATGCACTGGAACAACACAATAGGCAAAACCTCATTTTCAGTTTCATATATTAAGATGAAATTATTTGTTACAGATTTCCCATGTTGCCTTATTTCCTCTGTATCTACTTCACACTTCTCAGGAATGAGCATATTGGACTATGGATGTAGCTCTTCCCTGAAAGCTTGACTACTGAACACCACCATACTAGTCTCCAAATCCCATATGCAACAAGCAGTGATGTATATAGCTATATCAGCTATACCTCTACTTAAACTACTTTGTGGCAGCCAGAGAGTTAAATTTAGCAAATCACGACTCTGCCTCCTTCAGGCTAAAATTCTGTTACATGCATGACCTGGGGCTTGCCCTGAGGGTCATCAAGAAAGTAAGATTAGGAGAAACAGCTAGCCAGCCATCTTCTAAGCAAAGATGGCTGACAAAATCCTATCATAATTGCCTTGTAAATCAGTGTTTACCAACAGTTTCAGAGAGCTGCAAGGTTTAATTTACAAATTAAACAGTAAAGACCTTTGTTCTGACAAGGAAAAAGGACCAAGAAAACAGAAAGTTGTGGCCATCATTGTCTAAGCTATCATTTTGACATCCAAAGACCAGGCAGAGTATGCTCTGGGATGGCCCAAATACTCATACTGGATAGATCATGACAGAGGAACTTCACTGCATCAGAAGAGAATTTTGGCTTGATTCCTATCACCATTTAAACAATACAGAATAGTTTTATTTACAAAGACGCTTTCCCACAAAATGAAGGATTCAACGCATGCCTTAAAATTGACCTTTTTAACTGACTCACCTTTGGGACAAGAACCACATTCTAACGATAGTAATACCTGTGCATTAATTGTAATGATGAATTCTTTTAACCATAGCAGTGTTTTAAGAAGCACACATTTATGTCTCCAGTTAGTATAAGTTTTACATAAAATACTCTGATCTCTGCATATATTCACGATGATTAAAAAGTCACACAGAATTATTTGGAGCATCAGCTCTCTGTAATATATTTTTTTCTTGTCACCAACGAGAAAGTTGTTCTCAGCACTTTCTCAATTACTTCCTGTATAAAAAAAATCCCCAAAGCAGCTCAACCTATGCAAAGATTGAAGAGTCACAGACAGTAGGTACTTAACAACAAGCTCCAATTGAATCAAAATATCAGGACCATTTCCAAGCAGGAATAAATGTTATTTTGGTGATAAATAATGTCTATATAATTATATAATGAACTATGAGGAAACAGCAGATTACACATGATGGGAAGCATAAGGACACACCCAATATAAATCTGAAGCATGAAAACAATGATTAGTGTATTGACTTACTGCTGTATCTACAATCAAATAGGAAATCCAACTCCACGATCTGCAAAGAGTAATTATTGTAGAAATTTCTCTCACCTCAGATTAATACACTTATCTAAACCAGACTAACTAAAAGCTAGTCTGAAACAGTGTGTTTTGGTAACAAAGATAACCTCACAAAATCTACAGACATATCGTAGACCTTTTAAGTTGGTTTTATATTAAATCCAGGAATAATATTTGTGAAAGAATAGTTGATCTGTCCCAAAAACGCTGACAAACAACAAAGAGAACATACTGCAGAGTCTACACAACACATATTTTGTTGCCCTTATTCATTAACTACACCCTCAACGTTGGCTAATGCTGTTCTGCAACAAGAGCAGACCTCTTTCCTATACAGTAAAGGCAGCCTCCCCACACCCTCTCTGAACACACAACTCTGCATCCACCACATTAGCACATACTTGCAATAAATATTGCAGAAAGCTGGCCTGCTTTGACACTCTGCACATAATTAGTGTTACCTAAATACACAATTTAGTTACCCCACAATACACAAACCGGATTTTTTTGCAGTCTACATACACTTATTTGTAATGGATGCCTTTATTTTAAGGTAACTCAGATGATCAGTATTATTCCTGGCTGCTTCCCCTCCTCGCCCCCTTATTTAATTCTAACATTAAACAGATGTTACAACAGCAGGAAAATTATACTAATGTGTCTGTGCACGTATCCTTTTTATTCCATCTTCCTGCCTGTTTTCAGAGGTTTTCAAACACAGGACTAATGGAACTCAGTAACACTGATTACATGACTTCCTCACTTACCATCTATGAGCCCATTAACTTGCATTTGATTAAAACATATTCTTTAAAAAGGCATCTAATCCTAATTGGAAAGGATGAAGATAAGGAATTCAGCATCCTCCCAGCAGTCTGTGCCAACAGCTAACCACCCTCACTGCTGAGAACAGCATGTCCTAGATCTTACAGATTTGGCTCTTGTTACTTTGATGGCAATTTTTTTTAATGATGTGAAGAAACTGATCTAAGACTTTCACTGTAAGATATTTTCTCCATCTGTCACTGATATCTAACAAGACCTCTGCTACACTTGTTAGTATTTTAAGACCCTTTTATAATCTCCACAACTATTATATTCAACTATCGGTCTCACAAGCAACATTCTTCCCTCCTCTTCATTTTAAACTGACAGAAGTAATGGTAGGGATTTTATATATATATTGTCATTGCACTAGACATTTATCTAGTAAATTCTTGTCAGAATTAGTTTTCTAGGAATTTAGAGGTTTTAGAGGTGTGGCTTGCAATATTTGTCCCTGATGTAAGAACCACCTAACCATTCTAAAATGCACTTGAAAAACAACAAATTATAAAGCAATGCAGATCAAGTTCTATGACTATTCTGTCCTCTTTACTAATGATCTGCCATACAATCCAAATGTTACGTACAGAACTCATGAGTAGTTTCACAGTTGCTCCCAGTTTGTTGATAAAAATAGTTATCTTCAGGCTTATAACCATTTCCTCTTTCCAAAATGAAGCATCATTAAAAATTGCACCTGGAAGTTTCTCACTTCTAAATATACTTAAAGTGCTTTCAAGTAACATTATACAGCATTATTTTTTAAAATCTGATTGTAGCACTAGGTAGCATAAAGACAAATGTCCTTTTTAAAAAAAAGCACGAGTATTGAACTTTTCTGACCAGGTTTCTCAGAATTATCTTTTTTAAAAGAGGAACTTATTAAAAAAAAATAATTTTCATACCAGCCTGTAATATTTTAAACCTGATGTTTTAAGGACATAAACAAGACAAAAGAGTCTCTCTTCCTACAAACCTTCATTTTCCTCCAATCTGTCCTTTCTGCTTCCCTCTGTGGCATCAACTTCCCTTCAAAAACTTCTATTTTTTCTTCCAATTTACTCTGTCTTCATAGGCTACTAAGGTGAAGATTAGGAATAGGACAGCCTGAGATGCAAAAAGAAAACCTGACCCAAAAGCAGGTTGAACCTTTGGAGTGAGTTACAGTGAGCAACAAGGCAATGATGCACAGGGCAACAGTGCTAAGACAGTCCAAATACACTGTTAAAAATGAAAAAATGAACTCCTCCGTGGAAAAAGGATATGAAAATGACTAAGGACAAAAAAAGTGGGCAATATAAACAGCTCCATCTGACACCTGATATGACATATACTGCAACAATTTTGATAGCAGTACCCACAAATAACTTGCGGACTGAAGAGAAACAGGAATGTTAGCAAGGTGGTTTGTACCTTTGAGACTGTTTCACACCAGCACAGACATCGTATCAGATATTGGTTTCTCATTTCTTGCTCAAAGTACTAAAGTAAATCCTGAATCAAACACTGCATTGAGGTGTGCCACACAGTTAAATCAAATTCAGAGATGATACTTTCACAGAATGACACAAATATGAAACAAAGGAAGATGAGTATTACTTTAGTGTAACAGGGGGTATATAAGCAAAAATTAGGTAAGTTGCATTTAATTCTACAGTATCTACAACCTTATCCGAAATAGTGAAAGAATTAATCTGAAAGCTAAAGAACCTGTGACTCTTGTGATGCAAATTCTTTTATTCATATGAAAGAAGTTTATTTTTATATATGACATCCCATTGTATGTACTAAGTATTACTTCTGAATCAGCATTTGAGTATTTAAAATACTGCTACATGTAAATATCACAAACATTCTCCTGCGGCAACACCGCTCTCTCTATGTATATATGCGTATGCAATGAAGAATGTAAAATAAAAGCGATTTCAGACATATGATATATGCACCACTAAACAAGATTAAATATTGCTGCATAAATATTAATTAGTATATATTGCACCAACACACAACTTTTTATGCTCAGAAATCATCTGAGCGTGCAACCCTTCAAGAATATTCTTCCCCTCCTGCCTACCAATAGTCAAATATGTAAGTCTCTTCCCAACTCACCATATACAGCATATATGCAGTTCTAGAGATATAGCATAGAGCAGTCCTGAGATACAGTCACTTGTGTAACAAATTCAACGTTTTTAAACATTTTCTAAACATTTACATTGGGAAGCAAAGAATGTGAATCAGTCCATTCTTACACTGACTCACAATCTCCAAAAGTTGCACATTCATGTTGAAAATTACTTTGCAAATGTTTCTTAAAGTGAACCCCATAGTCTAAACAGCATGCTTTTGCGCCTACAGTACTGCAACAAGCCGTTTCAGTGCTTAGCAAAAATTTAACTTCTAAACGGACTCTCATGTTTGCTACTGCTAAAAGAGTACCTGAAAAACATGCAGTGAGAGAGTTTTGCTAAAACTATAATTCCCTGGGTCACAGGGAAAAGTTTTTCAGAAATTAAAGAAACGTGACAACTTACAAATTACAGTTTCCCACTTCAGTATCTTCAGCTGAACTTCCACTTCCTTCTTACTGAACGAACCTCAAGAAAATTATTTCTTAGATCTTGACAACATAGTAAAAATAACCAAATGCCCAGCATCCCCCCCAGACAGATAAAATCCTCTCCCCAGGTGCAAAAGAAAGCTTCACGTACCATTGACACATTCAAAGACATCACAGCACTTGCCAGGTGTTCCATCTCCACGCGAGACTATCTGAGGAACGGAGCCTGCCTCGCACATGGGGAAACCACATAAACCAGAGAGACACTCGCATCTGAAACCAAAGAACAGTAAGGAAAACTCCATAAATAAATGAAGCCACGTATAAGGGGAAAGAATAAGCAAGAGGAAAGCGGAAAGCTAGAGCACAAATTCCAGTATTTGCATATCTTAGAATCATCTTTTATTAACTTAATGACCAAGATAGCTTATCAACCTGAAGGGGTTTTTTAACCATCCAAACTTTGTTTGCTTGACCAGCAAACAAGAAAGTGGTACTGTGCAACACCAACGCTTCTCTAGTGATACATGTAAAAACATAGAAAACTGTAGTTCCAGATTGTTTGAAAATAATTGTATTCTCCAGACTTGCAAAATTAGGCTTCTCCAACCCTCTCTGAAAAATCAAAACTGGTGAAACACTCATAGCAGTAAATGCACCCATTCATTAGGAAACCATATTCTGCCCAGTTTTATATAGGGAATAATTAAAGAGAAAGGAAAACAATGCAGAATCATTAAATCTAAGCCAAATGAAAAAAATTGCAGGTTCTCTTTTGGTTTTTGATGGTGCTGCCCTCAGTTTGTGGAGGGGCAATCAATTACATGAGAAGCTAGGAAGTTAGGTATATTAAATACTGTGGTTAGTTTTAGAGATTGGATCATTCTAAAACAAGTATTTTCTCCATGTAAGTAGTACTTATTTGCTTATTTAAGAAAACAGCCTTAAGTGCTGGAAGACATAAAATGTAGATAAACAATAGTCATGTTTGTTTCCAGATTCTTTGCTTTATGATTAACATAATAGTTTAAAAGTCAAACACTTAAGACTTTTGATAAATTATATTTAACAGAGTTCTTATCCAGAACAATGGGCACATTCTAAGGATAAGCAGCGATGATTCAATAAAATGCAAGACAAAAGGAACAAAGAGAAATATGCAAAAATCACAGCTGAGAAACTTCATGGAATAGCACTTAAGTTGTTCTTAAAAAAAAAATCTGTGATTTTCAATTGAAAAAACTTGTAGATTAATTTAACATACTAGAAATACACATGAATTTTAAAAGGAAAAAAACTCAGCAGAAGATCCTGTAATTAGGAATTAAAAAAAATAAAAATAAGAACTCCATTTGGAATACTTAAAATATTTGAAATAGTTATTAACAAGACAACTGCCACATTAAACCACCCATTAGTAAAAAGCATCATTAGTACTTAATGCATTTGCTTATTCTTTATGCTTAAAAGCAAGAAGTTTGGTTCTCCTCTACCATGCATGTCTCCTTAATTGCCCAACCACCATTTTATCTCAGACCAGTGTTCAATGAATGAGGAAGAGCCACCTCTCAACAGGCAGGGTTTTAATATATCTCCCTTTAACCTTGGTGTTAGATAACATTGTTATATTCTCCACCAAAAGGTATTACTCAAAAGGAAGTTTGCAAGAAGAAATACAAGTAAAGTCAAGGAATCTCACAAACATTTATTATACTGTCTGAAAAGGATTCTTAAAAGACCGCATTATAGCAGCTTGTTACTACAAGGGGATAAATGAGTCAATAAAAGGAAGATACTGGGGAGCAGGGGGCGGGGGTAGGGAGAGAAAAAAGAATACCTCTAGCAATCAGCAAAAAAGAGCAATTAGCACTGTCAGGTTCAAGGAATTTGTACCTTAACCCAACTAGCAGACATGACTTTGGAACATGCTTTTCCCTTGTGAGAAGAATGAAACGCAGAAATAAGTGCCTACGTATTACTAAAGACGTAAGAAAAAAAAAATCTTTTAAAACATATATATAAATAATTGGGTTAGCATGGCAAGGTTTTGGTAGTGGGGGGGGGCTACAGGGGTGGCATGCACAAGAAGCTGCTGGAAGCTTCCCCTATGTCCGACAGAGCCAATGCCAGCCGGCTCCAAGACAGACCCACTGCTGGCCAAGGCCAAACCCATCAGCGACAGTGGTAGCACCGCTGTGATAACAGATTTAAGAAGGGGGAAAAAAAAATAACAAACTGCGCAATTGCAGCTGGAGAGAGGAGTGAGAACATGTAAGAGAAACAACCCTGCAGACCCCCAGGTCAGAGAAGAAGGACGGGGAGGAGGTGCTCCAGGCGCTGGAGCAGGGATTCCCCTGCAGCCCCTGGTGAAGCCCATGGTGAGGCAGGCTGTCCCCCAGCCCAGGGAGGTCCACAGTGGAGCAGATATCCACCTGCAGCCCGGGGAGGACCCCACGCTGGAGCAGGTGGGTTCCCAAAGGAGGCTGTGACCCCGTGGGAACCCCGCGCTGCAGCAGGCTCCTGGCAGGACCTGCGGATCTGTGGAGAGAGGAGCCCATGCTGGAGCAGGTTTGCTGGCAGGACTTGTGACCCTGTGGGGGACCCACGCTGGAGCAGTTTGTGAAGGACTGCAGCCTGTGGGAAGGACTCACGTGGGAGAAGTTCGTGGAGGACTGTCTCCCGTGGGAGGGACCCCACACTGCAGCAGAGGAAGAGTGTGAGGAGTCCTGCCCCTGAGGAGGAAGGAGCAGCAGAGACAAGGGGTGATGAACTGACCATAAGCCTCATTCCCCGTTCCCCTGTGCCGCTGGGGTTTGGGGGTCGGTAGGGAATTTGCGAGTGAAGCTGTACCCGGGAAGAAGGGAGGGGTGGAAGGAAAGTGTTGTAAGATTTGTTTTTATTTCTCATTATCCCACCCTGATTTGACTGGTAATAAATTAAATTAATTTTTCCCCAAGTCAAGTCTGTTTTGCCCATGATGGTAAGTGGCAAGAGATCTCTCTCTGTCCTGATCTCGACCCACGAGCCTTTTGTTATATTTTCTCTCCCCTGTCCAGCTGAGGAGTGATAGAGCGGCTTTGGTGGGCACCTGGTGTCCAGCCAGGGTCAACCCACCACAATACAAAAAAAACAAGTACAGACACAATCTGAAAGCAGTATTAAAAGCCTAGATAAAAATACTAGGTTTCACTTCAACCACCCTATATTCGACATCCCGATAACCTCTGGGAAAATAGGTAGATCAAACTTCATAAAAATTCACAAGCCTTTCACAGAGAAAATGGCACATGTGATGGAAATATAGTTGTGGACCTTGATTTTCCAATTCTCATGAGCTGAAATTACCATTCTTAGTTTTATCTCCTTCACAATACGGTTTTTCAGACATGCCTGTATCTTCTGTATTCTTTGCCTCACATTCATTATCACTGATGATTTGAGTTGCAGGAGAACATTAAATAATTAGATTAGTAACTTGTACTTCTGCCCTCTCATATTCTTCCCAATCAACTGCTTAAAAAAAAACAACCCAAAACCTCAAAACAAAAAAAACCACAACAAAACACAAAACCAGACAATAAAAAAAACTTGAATTGCCAGATTAAATAACTTAAGATAGGACAATCTTCCAGAAAAAGGGCTGAAAAAGATGTTTAAAAGACTGGTGGGAGCCAATGTTCCTTTCTGCAGAAAATTATCCCTCCCATTCAGAGTAATCAAAGCTTCACATACTCGTTCACAGTGTAAGCAAACAAAACCCCACCGTCCAAAATTTTATAAATTCACTTCCCCCATTTGGTTAAAAACCAATCCATGCATAGGAGAATGTCAAAGTAGCAAATGGTCTCAGATGGACTTTTAAATAGTCTGCATTCTTTTCAGCCAGCTGTGCTAGGAAAACCTTTGACCATCATCCAAGCTATTAGCATGGAAAACATTGTTTTGGAGACAGAAGTCTTTCAGGAAGAAACCCAAGGAATTCTGGTAGCCAAGGACAGCTGTTGCACCGCCAAAACAACAACATCTGGAAATCTGGAATAAGTGATCCCATTCTCAGTAAGAGAACAAAATATGAGTTTTATAGTACTCAATTTTTCTGAAGCACCTTTTGGAGCAGAAGAACAGATGGAAGAGTAGTCCGGCTCTGTGGTCTATCACAGGCAGCTATCTACCTGCAGGGTGTGTGTACCTTAGCCTTGGTATTGAGCCTTAGGTTTGAAGAAGTTTAGCAGGCCAGATAGTGGTAAGCCTGTTGATAGTGGCCATGGTCCTTCTCAAAATAATTTCTATAAAATTTAGCTCCTCAGACTGCTGATCAGTAAGGTAAAATGTTGCTTATGAGCTGCTCCCTCTATAACTATAACTTGCCTAAGGAAAACAGACACAGCAGAAGTTACTACAAGGAAAACTTCTGAAAGAAGAGACAACTTTACACGTCACCTTCTCTCTTTACACAGCCTGCAGAGACACCACTGCAACATCAAATAGCATGGTGGCAGGTCAGTGCTTGAGGTACTGAGAAGCTGGCACTCAGTATCTGTGCCCCCCCCGCCCCCTTATTAATAAAGGCTCTAAAGAAACACTTCTCTTGGGATGTTGTACCATAACAGCACTCAAGTCACGAAGAACATGTTCTTTTAACAAGGAAGAACAGTCCTGTAAGAGAGTACAATGTCCCCTAAGATGGCCCAGAAATAAAAAAAAAAAAGGGAATCAAACAGTCATGCAAGAGACTTCATGGACTGCAGCCTGAAAAGGTGGTGGGATTGCCTGGAAGGAACCAAATATCCCCAGTAAGAAGTCAGCTGTACTGAAATTTTGAAAATACAGCATCAACCTGACTGCTAAAAGGAATTGTCTCCAGTTCTGCAGGTTAAAAAAAGAAAAAAAAAAGTAATAACAACAACCACCCTAGAAATTTCAACAACTGAGCAAAGGAAGCTTCAGTATATAAAGAACCAGAAACAAGATGATGTTCATTAACCAATGCTGTGTGGACTAAGGAAGGTAACTGCTTCAGTAATATAAATGGCCTGATTTTTAATTTCAGTTTTTAAGTTCTTCAAAACAGAAATAATTCTATTACTTGTTTCTTTTATGTTTGAGGGTTTTTTTTCTTTTATATCATAATTTTCCTTTTTCCTTTATGTCACCAAAAGCACAAAAAGGAAGAAGGAAAAAAAATTTTAAAATTAAATGGATTAGTTTTAAATGACAATTTTTATTTAAAATCTAATTATCTTGGTTCATTTACTTCTGCTATTGAAACAGAT